TTTCCGAACATGGGTACGTACTTTCCAAGTGCCAACTTCTCCGAATACTACATGGTCATCAAGTTTTTTTTACGCCTTCTTACCATTGCGGATTGAGGTGAGGTAGGCCCACATTTAATCTCTTAGACGTTAGAAATAAGCTTTAAAAGCTTTTAAAGAAAAAATCTCAACATCAAAGTAATAGTAGGATTATGGAAAAGAGCGCTCATAAGAGCGAAAGAATATAAAAAATCAGATAATGTAATTTTTATTTATTTATTTTTTAATATGTAAGAACTGTTTTTATTAAGATTATTGTGAGGTACGGATATTTTTGCACCGAACCATATATTCTATTTCGTAAGAAATGAATCACTAGAGGACTATAAAATTCGAACGAATAATACCACCCTCTCTCTCGATAAAGTCCAAGTCAAACTCCACTGAATAAAGTGATCGCTAATTGAAGTCTCATTACTGCTGTTCTGTTGGTGAAATAATTATTAAATGTCTGATATAATTACAGTCGTAACGTCAAAGCCTTAAAAGGAAGATTAAATGTTTGTCTATAGCGATGAATACATTAGGTAACTTAAATGTATATACATTTTTGCCAAACAAGTAAAACAAATCGATTCTACAAGAGCCCCTCAGCTTGTATATATTATAATTTTTCGGGCCAAAATCTCGGGGACGGGTATCCTGTATGACAAATAGCGTACAACTTCATAAAGATCCAAAGTTACATTTCAATATTTTGCAACACACGCGTTTCGTGTATATATATATATATTTTTATTTCAAAGCCAGTTTACCGACATATTGCGAATATTTTCCCGTTATCAACGACTGCTGAATATGAAACTAAATCAACTTATTCCGGACAACATTTGACAAAATTAGGACCTCTGCATCTCCCCGCTATTAAAGGTTTGGAACAAGTAGTCGAGTCCGTGTCGATGCAGGTACCTGGTACACCGTTGCATGGTGCCCCGACTGCAAAGAAGTCAGGATAAGTTCTCAAATCGTAGTTCTTATTGGGTAAGAAGCCAATGTTAAGAAGTTTCGCTGGACCAGTAGAGCCATAGCTGATGACACGATTTCCTCCAACATAAATAGCCGCATGACTATATCGACGGTTACCATATAGAACAACGTCCCCCGGCTGCGCATCATTTAAAGAGACCGGCATTCCGTTATCAGCCAGTCTTCCAGTATAGCCGCCAGCCCAATCTGCTCTGTTAAGATAATCAGGATAATATCCAAAGAGGCTCCAATATAACCAAGTAATAAAGGAACTGCAATCAGCATAAGGCGGTACGTCATCTTCGGGACATATTCCATTATTAATTCCAGACCAGCGTCGTGGGTCTTGAGTGTAGTTGATGATTTTTCCGCTGGAAACCACCTTAAAAGCCGCCGCTATGAGACCTTCACGAGTTGCTGGAAATCCGGAACATTTTCTAGGATCCCCGCCGAATACGAGTGGAAGTAAAAGACAGAAAATAACAATGAGTTTCATATTGATTATGTATTGAACGTATCTGAGAAGTTGACTCTGCTGGAACGCGGGTATTTATCGTCAAGAGACGGTCACAGCTTTGTCGAACGATTTTGTCGAAGGCTTTGTTTTGATTTCGGACAAGCTCTTTTTAAGCTCCATCCGCCGGTGTCAAGCAATTGCGAACTAGACTTTATTTATCATGTTGCAGTACCAGAACGTTAAATGTAGTAATATTTGCGTATATACTTGGACTATAAACGCTTGAATTTGTGTATATACTAAGACTATACACGCTAGACTTACCAATAATGGAAACCTCTTGTTTTTGCGTTTGTCTATTGCAGCTAGTAGAGCCTTATTAGTGATTAGCGTTCGGAACCAAAATTGAAAATTATTTCCATAAACCATGGACGATGTACAGTATTAATTGACAACCGCTTTTGGGTGAAAGCACCAAAAAAATCCAATCGGCCGAAAATCTGAAACGGCTGAGCAAAACTGAAGTCATTACTGTTGAGTTATCAAAATGGTAAAGAAAGATGGGTGAGAAATTTACAATGGACCAAGGAAGTACAGTAAAACCTTCATAAATGCAACGTCTTGGGACCGAATACTATGTTGCATTTATGTACTTATGGAGGTTTCTTTAATAGGAAGGAGATTTAACGATTTGTGTCTATTAAACAGATTTCCCTTTATTATAAAAGTTACGTAAAAAATTTGGTTATTAATGTCCCTAATTGTTAACTAAGAGTTGCATGCTACTTTGTTTCATTAAATTTGTCCGTTTTTCGCGAATGAATTTCCCCAAACTTTTAAATAATCGCTCTGACTGTCTCTTGTTGAATTAGAAACATCCTTATGTTTTCTAAACTTTTTAATGCCTCATTAGCCACTTTCAGAAAGCTCAAAATGATATCTTCCTTTGGAAAAGACAAATACTCTAGCTTGTTTGTTGTCATTACATCAGGATTCAACCACGATGGATATAATGTTGTGATTTTTGTTAATATTGATATTAATAATCATTTTTCCGCAACAAATGACATTACGTGAATCACGTGAGTCGCACTTAGGGAAATAAATCTGTTGCAATTGCAGAAAACGGGGGGTTTGCATTTATTCGCCAAGTGGGAATGAGCAAAATGCTGAGGATTGGAGGATTGCATTATGGGGGTTGCATTATGGGGGTTGCATTTATGGAGGTTTTACTGTATTCCGATTCCATGTACCATTGTTACTTTATCTCTTCGTTAAATTTTATTGATGCTTTGTGTTAATCTTCTTTTGTGGGGTATAACTGAAGACGAGCAATTAGTGGGAAGTTGACAGAAAAGTAATCGATAAAGAGATTACATAGTAATAGTGAAACTCGATAGAGACCAATAGGATTCATCGTAACACGATTTCCTTTCATGTATCCGCTTTACGGTTGTGCGACAAAAGTCGTTTTTTCGATCTACGGAAATTTGCTTTAAACTTTTTACCCAGCTTTGACGCTTTAATAATCAACTTTTTTTGATGTACGTGTATTTGATTAATGATTGTTTCACATTACTTGACAGATGATCAAAAAAAATTTTACATAATGTTTCACTTGAGGAATTCTTGCTGTATTATATGCTTCTCATGTTCACTCAAAATGTATTATAATCGTTATTGCTAAGAATATAACAACTATTATCGTAGTTTACTGAATAAAATTGTTAGCAGTACACAATTCGTCTCTTGACAGAATACAATTATGGAAGGCTTAGGGTGAGGTCAACTATTTTATTGTAAACGGCAGCCTCAATTTTTATTTGTCTTTATATTATATTCGTTTGCGTCTATCCGTTACCCATATCCATTATTAAACGATAAATAAGAATAGCGATTGTAACAATATCAATTAATTAAGAGCATTGTGTAAGATGTTTTTTAATCGGTATTCCTTGATAACCACTGTGTCAATCTTTATGCTTGTTAGTTTGAATGAACATAGCTTTATCGAATAACAATTAGTATGAGATGCGCCCACCATTGTGCTCAATAATTAATTTACTAAATTAATAAGAGTCGCTTCTGAAATATTTGCCATTCCTCTTCCATAACTTGCTTTAGCTTCTCACAGTTTTTTGGCGTCCTTCTCTCAAACATTATATTTAACGATACACCAAAGATTCTCTATTGAATTTAAATCAGGATTGTTAGATGCCCAATCCTTAGCAACTCTACTTACATGCATGCTTGTCCTGCTGGAACTTCCACCTTTTATCAAGCATCTGATTGATTTCAGGAATATGTTGAGCTAAAATTTCAACATAAAATTTGCATTCTTTGGAAAAGTTATACGACGCGTTTTTAACAAAACGGAAAAAAAAAATACCTTTTTTTTTTGTTACTGTATGACACAATCTTACATTCCCGTACAAGTCATCCAGTTCAAAATAGAGCTTTTAGAGCTTCAACTTAACGTTTTCGATTATTAGCTTAGCTCAGAACCTCAGTCTTGGCATTATTATTACTTAACTAGAAACCAACATGCCGGATGGTATTATGGAGTTGAGCAACAGAGACGAACATAGGAAACTCTTAAAAATGTCTCGAAGAATTGTTGTTTGAATGAAGAAATTATAATTTCATTACGTAGAGAATGATTTTTTTTATAGGTTTGGGCATTTTAATTTGCCAACGAGATTAAAGCGTAGAAATTATGTAGCAAGTCTTCGAACATGGTAGAGAATGCGTATATAGATAGGTATATAGCATACTGTACATAGTTAAGTCTTCATAATAAATTTATCTTATTTATTACATTACCCTTATATTGGCGTCCATGTTACTATCGTTACTTTTATCATAGTTTACAGTTGCAACCTGTTCGTTATCGTAAAGAGAATCAGCATTAATAACCTTCATCCTCGTAAACATTTGGATGCTGTACTCTAATCTACCAAAAACAACATGGATTATTGTTGAAACCAGAATTATATCACTCAATTATGAGAAAGCATAAATTTGCCCAAAAAATGCAACACTGTTGAGTTATCAAAATGGTTACAATGGAACTAGGAAGTATTTCGATTCCTTTGTACCAGCTCTACTTTATCTCTTCATTCAACTTTATTGATAGCCTTGTGGGAAGGAGATTATAAGTTTCACAAAAAGGGTAAACAGAATTTTAAAATAGCTGCAGTGGATTAGACAAAAACCAGGAATTAATCGAAAAACTTTACAATTTCAAGCAGAATCGAAAAGCTAACACAGCAATTAGAAGCAATTACTAAGACTTATAACGAAGAAATTCTTGAACGACAAAAACGCAAGTAAGTCTTGTACTGTTAGATAAGCATCCTCTTGAAAACATAGGCTTCGTCCATAAGAGATCTGATTTTAATTAATTTCACTGTAGGAATTAACCTTTTACACGTTCAAGTACCCTATCACAGTCAATATAGTACAAAAGTGGCGTGCTAAATTTCCTGAAGCTAGTAGCTCTCTCTACAAAGCGTGAATATCACCTTTACTGTACTCTATAGTGGTATTCCTTGTGGGCAAAATTACAGAATCAACAACTTGCAGGAAGATTATTAGAATTGTTAAGAATATACTTATTAAAGTTTACTACGGGCCATAATGTCCCATTATGTTGCGAGTTGAAAGGATGCCTTACTATTATGTTATTATTCTGCGGCACACCCACATTTGTATTTGTCAGCGACGGTAGAGCAATCGAATTCTTCTTTAAGTAATCGCCTGTTGACAATATTGTGCACAGCGCACGCCCACAGCGAAGCAGCTTCACGAGAAGAGACTTGTGGCGGATGCTTCTCGAGAATCATTTGAAATTCTTTTGCACTACAAGTGGATACCAAACAAATCGCATAAGCGAACTTGGTCGCATTTACCAAGCATATAAAAAGAGAGTCACGACATACCACTCGCCACACGGATATAGTCTACTGAACAGGTAAATAAAACTTCGCAGTGCCGCTTTCTGATCTTTGGTAGGGCGTTCAGGAAAACGTGCCATCATTGTATGTAGAAGCTATTGATCGTAAGGAGATAATTGTGGTGGGAAAGTAATCGGATGGTCGTTTAATAGACATATATATATATCTATGTTTTCTAGGGCGTGTATACGATTTTCCTACCTTCCAGCTGCTTCTACCTAATTCGGCTCTGGTCAACCAAGTGAACTTGTTAGCATTATCGCCAGCCAAACTAGTACGTTCAACTACACATTCCTTACTTTATCGTAGCGTTTCCTAACTTTGGCATGATTACTCCTCCATGGACAGTATTCTGGTCAACATTCTCACTCAAATGAGTCGGAAACTCTTCAGTATAGTTAATATTTTCCTGATATGTGCTGTTTAAATTGGAGTTGAAGTAAACTAGCGTGGGTATTATCACTAAGAAGGTAATAACAGTCAGGCCAACGATTCCTCGCATTCTGTGTAGATATGGATAGTTGCAGTTTGAAATAAAGAGTGAAAATGAAACAACCCGTATTTAAAACAGGGTTGACAAACAAGAAACCCGTCTTGTATGATATTAATATTGAGTCATGTTCTCACCTCAATAGCTGGAAATTTAATACTTAATGTTACACCACTGTTGCACGCTTAATCATTGTTATTCAAAAACTTTAACCATTACCTACTTCATATAATGGCGGACAATGCTTCGCAGAATTCAGCCTCCATTGAACTCACAGCAGACACTATAAAGCAACCTACGAGGCACCAACATGATTCCGAGGATATAGACAAATATTTTGGTTTCCAAGACGAGTCTCGTAGAACGTCGCTTAACCTCGATGACTCTGTGCGGGCGGAATATGATCAGCTAACGCAAACTGCTGCTGAATTGTTAACGACGAGACTGTAAGTATTTGTGAAAGAGCAAAGGTAAACAAGCGCGCGGACAGGCACGCACGTGTTGGTTATGTTGTAGTTGAGAATAGTGTGAAACAAGTTGAAACAGTGTTACGAGATTTTAATCTTTATTTTGTACGTGTTCTTTTTGAAAAAAAAATAAAAGTTCATATACTGTTCACATACAATTTTAAAACAAAAAGGACGTTTTTTAAAAGTGTATATCATGGTCGTACTTGTGCCTTGAGTATTTAGTAATATGCCATGAATCCCCCCATTTTTGCAAACAAAATAACCCTGATCATAGGACAGACATGGACGATTTAACATTCAAACGTAAACACCCAGGACAATCATCCAGCAGCCGTCTATTCTCTCGGTCGGATAGATATTCCAGTAGTGAGCCGCTTGCTTTGAAGGGTGGTCATATTTCGACTACATTGAGAAAACATGACGATGGAGAGTTCGATGGTGATTTGGTGGATTGGACTATGGAAGGGACTGGAAGGAGAGTGGCGTACGATGATTTTACTACAATAGGTGCGATATTCTGATTTACTTTTATCTCGAGGGTAGCATCTTTGATCGGGATGAATGATTTGTCTGTTGAATGAGAGAGAGTTGTTTTTGATCGTTTTGTTGTTGCATAGACTGGATTCATGATTTCGCCAAAGAACGTGTTCGACAAAGAAAGCTGCATTCGCGCAAAAGTTGGCGAGGACGATTGGCCTTGATCTTTGATGCTACAGAAGGATGGATTGTCGTCTTCCTAGTAGGTAAGTTAACTCATCCATATATGTGTGGTTTGTTGACAATGTCGAGATGTAAGTTAACATGCCTTTTCTTCATCTAGGTATTGCTGCAGGTATTCTGGCTGGAATAATCGGCGTAGCATCCGAGTGGTTGAGCGACATTAAAGAAGGCTATTGCAGTACCGCATTCTATCTTAATAGGAAATTCTGTTGTTGGGAATTAGGTTGTTATAACAATGGATGTTTTGATGTTCCATTGCGACCCGCCCTCTCATCCAGTTTGAGTGCATACCGGTTATAAATGTTATTTGCTAACATATTGGCTTCTACATTATGTACAGATGATGTGTCATGTGCTGAATGGGTTCCATGGAATGAAGCTCTCCAAGCGAAATCACTGCGTTCGATATTTTGGACTAATTATGTTTTTTATATAATATTTTCTGTAAGTTGTATGATTTCTTTGAAAATTCATGTTTGCGACGGTATACAGCCAAGGCTAATATATGCTTGTGCGTCTTTTAGACGGTGTTTGCTGGTGCTGCTGCATACCTTGTAGACGTATATTCTCCTTATGCTGCTGGCAGTGGTATACCAGAAGTAAAAACTATTCTGGGCGGATTCGTTATTCGAAAATTTCTGGGCTGGTGGACTCTGGTTATCAAAAGCGTTGGTGTGGTGAGTTACAGCCGCTGTGTGGAATATAATAGCATTGATTCTATTCTGAGTATGATGTTAATGAATAGGGCGTATTGCTATTTCAAATATAAAAGTGCCTCGTTGTTGCCTCAAATCTTTGTTTAGGGAAAGAAGGTCCGTTGGTTCATTTGGCATGCTGCTGTGGAAATATCATTCCTCGCATCTTTGCTAAATTCAGATATAACGAAGGTAGAATCAATAGAACACTGTGACGATATTATGTATCATACTTTTTTCATTGATTATAATGCCGTACGCTTTTGACTGATAGCCAAGAAGCGTGAAGTATTATCAGCGGCAGCAGCAGCAGGTGTTTCCGTGGCCTTTGGTGCTCCGATAGGGGGTGTTTTATTTAGTTTGGAGGTTAGTAAGATTAAACAAGTTTGCATTCATTGATCATAAACAGCTTTCTAAAATTATGCGAATTACTAGGAAGTGTCATATTACTTTCCTCTGAGAACGATGTTTCGAAGTTTTTTCTGTGCCATGGTTGCTGCAGTTTCACTTGAGGTACGACTTTAGACGCAATTCTGATACTTGGCACCAGTAATCTGCATACTAAATTAAATGCTCGCCTACTTAAACATATGTAGTTCTTGAATCCATTTAGAACGGGAAAGTTGGTGCTCTTCCAGGTAGTCTATGACAGAGAGTGGCACAATTTTGAATTAATTTTTTATGTCTTGTTGGGAATTATAGGTGTAAGTATACCATAATGATGTAATCAATGTCCAAATATGATCCATGACTAACCAACATTGTCAATCCAATAGGGCTTATATGGTGCACTTCTCATTCGTGTCAACCTAAAAATAGCAGCCTTCCGCAAAGAGACTTGGCTACGCTACGTCCCTGTACACGAAGCCATTGCTGTCGCACTGATAACATCTGTTATAAGTTATCTTAATATATTCATGAGGTGAAGAATCGGCGGCTATATTTATCATGCATATGGTTGTGTTTTATTTACTTGATCTTATGCCCATTCTGTGTCCATAGAGTTAACCCCTCGGAGTTAGTTGCTAACTTACTTCGTGAGTGTGCTGGTGCAGATTACCATGATCTTTGCAAGTATGTACTTTGACTCTAAGAGACCAGTCTGCTAATTACGCATTATATACGAATGATGGCACTCATCTTCTTGTAACATCCACTAGCCATGATAACTTTCTAAGAACATCTTTGTCACTTGTCATTGCCGCCATTCTCAAGTTTTTCATAACAAGCGTATGCTTTGGAATGAGAGTACCGGCAGGCGTATGGCTACCATCGATGGCAATTGGGGCTTGCTTTGGAAGAGCTGTTGGATTAACCGTGCAGGCATGGCAAAGGTACATCTTTAATCGCAACAACTCGCCCAATGCTATTAATTTACGTTTTCTATTCTCAATAAAGGGCCTATCCAGCATTCTGGCTATTTTCTTCTTGTCAGCCCGACGTTCCTTGTGTTACGCCTGGAGTGTATGCTTTGGTTGGAGCTGCTGCTGCTTTCGGAGGTGTTACTCGTATGACGGGTAAAAGGTTTTCCAATAGATCGAGTTTTCTAAATAATTAATCAGACGTTTCCGCTAATAATCTATTTTTCGAATTATTCATGTAGTATCGCTTGTAGTAATAATGTTTGAGTTGACAGGTGCCTTGACATATGTATTGCCGATTATGATAGCCGTAATGATTAGCAAGTGGGTTGGGGATGCGTTTGACAAGGAAGGGATATATGACGCATGGATTCGTCTCAATGGATATCCGTTTTTGGATACAAAAATCGAATATATATGGAATACTCTCGCTTCCCAGGTGATGACCCGTGTTGAAGACTTGACAGTAATTACAGCGACGGGCCATACTGTAGATAGTTTAGGTAATGCAAAAGAACGACTGATCGTAGTGCTTGCATTCCCCATGAAAATAGACTAATGCCAATTTTCTTTCCTAGTCGAACTACTGCAGGATGTAGATTACAAAGGCTTTCCTGTCGTCAATAACAATAGGGAACTATTGCTCATTGGCTATATTTCTCGTTCAGAATTACGATATGCGTTGGGTATGTATTGTAAATCGCGATATTTGAATTCAATTTATAATGTTCGTTCACCATTGTTCCATGCTGTATTATATAGACAAGGCTAGAAAGAAACAAGGCGCATCTGCGTCAAGTCCTTGTTATTTCTCTAGTAATTTGCCTATTCTTGATTCAATACGGTTTGTCGACTTTCGACCATGGATGGATCAGGTATAAATGTCTGAGCAACTGAGGTTGAGTCTTGAGACTTTTTTGCAAAACGTATTGAATGCCGTTTATGTTACTAGACGCCCATTACAGTCTCTCACAAATTTCCTATGGAAATAGTCATAGAGTTATTCAGAAAAATGGCAAGTTTGTATATAGTGATAAACGGCAATGATCCCCTCATGGACTGCGGGAAAAACTGAAATTCTTTCCAATTTTGTAGGGGCTTCGTTATATTCTCGTCACCAAGAACGGCCGTCTTCTTGGACTAATCACAAAAAAGGACATCTTACGACATTTGGCTGTTATGATTCATCCAAGATTGTTGGATGGTGATGATTCACACGAGACTCAGAATCTTATGAGATTGCCTGAACGCAGAATGTCTAGTTACGTAGGAGATTTCGGTATCGACTGATTACACGTTGAACGGGTTCAATGTTGGGTAATAGAGAATCTCCCACGGCAAGGATAGAGCGTGGCAGAATGCCATATTTGGGCGTTACTATAGAAAGAAACATTGTTTGTAATTATATTATTTATAAATAATAGGGGTGAAAATCATATTCCTTAATTGGCATGAGGCGTTGTAATAAATGACGCGCCAACATATTTACGCGTTTGTAAAATAACCAATCAGAATGTGCATTGAATGTCGTGAGCATGAGTTCTTCATTTCCAGAAAAGGGTTTATCACGTGTGGTACACTGCACGCGGCAAAAAAAATATAAACTAAAATTTTTTGCAAAATCGTTTCCTTCCCCGTTGTCAGCAGGGCAAGGAGGGCACCAAGTTTTAATAAAAGTCCACATTTCATAAGCAAATAAAAATGAAATACGTTTTAATATTGGGTGGTGTAATCTCGGGCATTGGGAAAGGCGTTATTGCGTCCTCCACTGGGTTACTGTTAAAAACGTTAGGTTTAAAGGTGACTGCAATTAAGATTGACCCTTACATAAATGTGGATGCTGGTACTATGAACCCTATCGAACATGGTAAGTTTTCACATCTCTTTTTTTCGGTTCTTGTTTGGGCTCTGTGTATAGTTTCTACGTTAAATAGATATGAAACGGGTAAAAGGTGTGATTCCTAGTATGTTCAGTTTGGATGAATGAACTAGACGCGTTTCTCATTCTTTTTGCTGTGGTCGGCATGTAAATTTTACTAAAGAGTTCTGTGTATATTCTTCTGTTTCTGGGGCTAACTCCTTGTGCTTTACCATCTCGCTTAGGTGAGGTGTTCGTTTTAAATGATGGAGCCGAAGTGGATCTCGACCTGGGGAACTACGAAAGATTTCTTGATGTGACATTAACACGGGACAATAATATTACATCTGGGAAGATATTTCAGCATGTCATTGAAAAAGAGGTCGGATTGCGTTCGATTATATATCAGTTTCCTATTCACTTGTCGAGAAATATTTATCTGAATTTGGTTCTGTCAAACAGAGGAGAGGTGATTACTTGGGGAAAAACGTACAAACAGTCCCTCAAATAACCGATGCAATCCAAAACTGGATTGAGCGAGTTGCAAGGATTCCTGTGGACAAGAGCGGCGAAATACCAGACATTTGTATAATTGAGGTTCGATCACTTGCTATATAATATATTTCTTTCGCTCAATTCCCAAGCAACTGCGAATGGATCATTTACAATCGCGCAATTTTTTGGGGTTTGTACTTTTAGTTGGGAGGCACAATAGGTGATTTTGAATCGGCTCCATACATCGAAGCATTGCGACAGTTTCAGTATCGAGTTGGACAGGAAAATTTCGCCGTCATTCAGGTTTCTCTGGTGCCGGTTCTTGGTGTAGTCGGTGAACAAAAGACAAAACCTACACAGGCTACAATCAGGCAGCTGAGAGCTTTGGGATTGAAACCTGATCTGGTGAATATGATATTAACTCTAGATGTAGTTGGAGTATGGCTCGTTGACGGGCAAATTAACAGTCCCCTATTAATCTAATGTTCAACCGACTGATTACGCTGTCAGATCGCTTGCAGATGTTCTGAAGAATTGGAGGCTCGTGTTCGCTCCAAGATTGCTCTCTATTGCCGTGTGGAACTCGAACAAGTAATGACCATGGACGGTGTTCTGATTTGAGCTGTTAAACATACTAATTATAGTGTTTTGGCAGGTGCTATCGGTCCAAGACGTTGCATCGACGTATCATGTACCACTACTACTTAAAGATCAGGGTATATTGAATTATCTGACGAAGCGTCTTAGGTTGGATTGCATCAGCATTACGCCTGAATGGCAGCGGAAGGGAAGCAATTTACTACGGTTTTGGAAGAAGTTGACTGTCGAGTACGTAAACGTTGAGCGGATTAGCATTTGAAAACGTAGATTCTTTTTTAGCTTATCACTTGTTGGTCTTTAGACACAGTCGCTCTCGGGAAACAGTTACAATCGTCCTAGTGGGCAAATACACTTATCTTCAAGATTCGTACATTTCAGTCGTTCAGGCACTCGAACATGCCTCAATAGAATGTGGACGTAAACTCGTCTTGAAGGTTTCCACTCGATATCTTTATTTTGTTGAACTGACGTGTTTGAATGCTATCTTGTGTCTTCATATTTATCTTGTATAATTCTATTTTTGAAGTGGGTAGAAGCTAGTGACCTAGAAGCTGAGATGAAAGAAACAGATGCTGCAAAATACGAAGCCGTATGGAATACGATACGCTGTGCTGATGGAATACTTGTTCCTGGTGGATTTGGGAATCGTGGCACTGAGGGCAAAATTGCAGCTGTCAGATATGCCAGAGAGAAGAAGGTTCCATTTTTAGGTAAACCGTTTTCCATCTACCATGCCGCAACATGCGTATATGCGTGTGAGTAGCGTTTTACTTAGTTTTCTTGCATCTTGCTAGGTATTTGTCTTGGATTACAAGTAGCCGTTATCGAATTCGCACGTCATGTGTGTGGCATTGAAAACGCCAACTCGGAGGAACTAGATGCAGAGGCCGTCAATAAATTAGTTGTGTATATGCCGGAAATCTCACGTACACATCTCGGTGGTACTATGAGATTAGGCTTACGACCGACGAGTTTTACCAAGGAGAGTGAAGGCTGGTGCAAGATCCGTACGTTTGGTTACATTTTCTCTTGGATTGAACAATGTTGCCAAAAGTGTTTTAATTCAAGCGTCTGTTTATAGGCAAAATATACGAATCACATCAGTCGATGGGCACCATAACAAAAGAAGGCAGCATGGTTGGAGTCAAAGAACGTCATCGTCATCGTTATGAAGTTAACCCAGAGTATATCCACTTGTTAGCAGAGAATGGACTAATGTTTGTTGGACGTGATGAGACGGGAAAACGCATGGAAATAATGGAATTACCAGGTAAGATAAACGTTGAATTGTTAACATCTAGTTCAATTGCATATTAATCGCCTTTTGATGCAGACCATCCGTTCTTCGTGGGAACCCAGTACCATCCAGAATATCTTAGTCGTCCACTACGACCTGTGCCCACATTCCTTGGTTTTGTGGCAGCGTCTGCTGGATTGCCACTAAGTTCTCTATTCTCTAAACATTTACCAAATTGAGTGTTTTGTGCATCTTTAATAATCAATCGTAATAAGAATATAAAAGTTAAAAGTGATAGATTTTCACATCGAGACTCACATATTATCTCTACTAGAATTATTCTCCAAGTCTTGTGATAATGTATTACAACAATAATAAAATTCAACATTCAAACATTATGCATAACTCTTTTCTGTATGACAAACAGATATTCACGTGTGTGAAAAAAGATCTCTTCGGATGATTTTCGCGTGAAATTTCTGTTATTTGATATTAATGGCCTTAATTCAACCAGACGAATTAAAGCTTATCGTTCATAGTTCTAAAACTGGACAGAGTGGCAGCATTGGGCGTGTTGCAAGGCGGATTTATTTGCATGTCGGAACAATGAAAAAGTGGCGGATATGTTCAGGAGATTACATTCTAATTTGCGGAGAGAATGTGAGTGAAAAGATACATGTTCATACGATACTGTGCAAAGCTATGCTAAAATTGGAATAATACAGTCAACAATGTCTTCTGCAGCTGTCGGAGTTGCTTGGCCTTCTTTCACAATACAGGTGAACCGTACGTCACATTGTCCGAAAGTCCTTGCATTTCATTGATTCTATTGTTGAATCATGAGCAACCAACTTACTTAAACTGCCTTGTTATATTAAAGAGATTCAACTTAGTGCCTTTCAACGGGAAAACGCAGGTTTACAACTTGGTGATACAGCCATAGTCACTCAGGTTGGTAGTGATCCAATGGTTGCATCGAGACTTGTCTTGAGTTGTATCCAAGCGACAGATTTGAAAATTGATCAAGTGCTTATTATCTACGCTAGAGAATACTTGGGTTGGTTTATTATTGATTTCTTTATTTAAGCTCTACCAATGTCAACGAACGATGGTGACTAACAATTTGCCCGTCCTTTATAGTCGATCAAAGATATTTACTGAAAGGAAATAAAATAGAATTGTTTTACAACGGAAAAATCGAGCCGTTTCTTGTCGAAGAAGCCAAGCCAGAAAGCGAGTTAAATGAAACGAAAAACGTATATCGAATAACGCAGGAGACTATTATAACAATACGGAATGCGTCTACAGACAATGTACATGCCATTCTGCACTAGTTATCTAACATTGTTTTTGAGAAGAAACATATATTGACATTATATTACAACTTTAATACACTTTGTATCAAGAGATCCAATATACGCCACGCACCTAAAACGACTTATGCTTCGATAGGAGGTTTAGATCAACAATTGAGACTCATACGCGAGTTAATAGAGACTCCTCTACGTAAGCCTGAACTCTTTACACAATTTGGCCTTCGACCGCCGAAAGGGGTATTGCTTTATGGTCCTTCTGGGACAGGAAAGACGTTAATAGCAAGAGCAGTCGCCGAGGAGACTGGCGCCCATGTCATATTGGTGAACGGCTCAGAAATTGTGAGTAAGTTTTACGGAGAAACAGAGGCAAAGGTTAGTAAACTTAGGCGATGTACTTCGTATCAATTGCAGTACCGTAATACCATTATTGACAGTCTATCACCGTTATACATATAGCTTCGCGATATATTTGCTGAAGCTGGCGAAAATGCACCAACGATTATCTTTATTGACGAAATTGATGCTATTTGTCCAAAACGCGACGAGGTATACGGCATTGTATTCAGATTGTGACCCGTTTATCTTGTACAAAATTCTGAACATTAGTTTTAAACTACTACATATCGGAAGGCATCAAACGAACTCGAAAAGCGCGTCGTAGCAACCCTACTCACTTTGATGGACGGCGTATCTAACAAAACTTCAACAAATCGTCAAAATCAGGTTGTGGTCATTGGTACTACTAACAGACCAAACCATCTAGACGAAGCGCTCAGACGACCTGGACGATTCGATAGAGAGATCGAGATTGGAATTCCCACAGAAGATGCACGGTTCTCGATTCTAAACACGTTATTAAGTAGCATCCCCCACTCATTGTCTTGTGAAGAAGTGAGACGACTTGCACACAAGTCGCATGGATACGTCGGAGCTGACTTGGCAGGAGTATGTCGGGAAGCAGGGATAAAAGCAATCAGACGATGTGTCCGAAACAACATGGGAGATGACGTGAATTTAACAATGCAAGATATGGAACTTGCATTAGCTGAAATACGGCCAAGTGCTATGCGAGAAATTTTGCTTGAGGTTCCAAAGACTTATTGGTCTGACATTGGGGGTCAATCAGATATAATACAAAAGCTCAGAGAATCGATCGAATGGCCTTTGTCGCATCCTGAAGCTTTTGCAAGATTGGGTATTCGTCCACCAAAGGGTATTTTGTTATATGGTCCTCCCGGGTGCAGTAAGACGCTGATGGCAAAGGCGCTTGCGACCGAAGCCGGTTTGAACTTTATTGCTATTAAGGGTCCTGAGGTACTCGATTAAAGAAAATCATGACAAACTTGGAAACCTTTTAACATGTCGCTGACGGTTTAATTTTGCAAAGCTTTTTAGCAAGTGGGTTGGTGAATCTGAAAAAGCTGTCCGAGAGGTGTTTCGGAAAGCAAGAGCTGCGGCGCCATCTATTGTGTTCTTCGTAAGGAGAATCAGTTTGTCGTATTGTATATCGCCTAGCCAAATATGAAACCAATATAATTTACCCGATTTCAACGTACTAGGATGAAATCGACGCGTTAACTGTTACGCGTGGTCTTGGTGATTCCGATGGTGGAGGAGCGTCTGTTGCTGACCGCGTCCTTGCTCAATTGCTGAATGAGCTTGATGGAATTGAGCCTTTAGTGAATGTTACGATCGTGGCGGCGACGAATCGGCCTGATATAATTGTAAGTTAGTGACACGGTATGTTGATCGATTTTCATATTTATAAAGTTTTGACAGCTGTACTCTCAAGGACTCTGCGCTCTTACGTCCGGGACGAATCGACAGGATTCTGTATGTTTCTCCACCTGATTTAGAATCGCGCAAAGAAATATTTAAAATTCAACTGCGCAAGATGGCCACAAATCCCGATGTAGACGTAGAAATTCTGGCTCAAAAGGTTTGATATTTTGTTGTTGTTTGATATCGGGAAAAAAAATAATATAATTCAACCGTATGTGCTAATGCGCGTCAATTAAAGAGTGAAGGATATTCTGGTGCGGAAATTGTAGCTTTGTGCCAAGAAGCAGCATTGCTTGCTATGGAAGAAAATATAGATGCAGCTGAGGTACTTGTTCAAATATCAAATTACCGCTTTTCATAGATTGTATAAGCATATGTGGGCTAATGATCCAAATTGAAATGTAGGTGTGCTTTAAGCAATTTGAGAAAGCATTGTCTTCGTTCACCCCGCGTATTACATCCAAGATGATTAGATTCTATGACGACTTTCGTCGAAAGTCTGGGTTGCGAAGTATCTAATACAGCGGGAGACAAAAGTATTGCATAATCGTAATTTATTTAATTTTTTATATGAAATAAAAAAACTAACTATTGGACCACTTAATTTATCAGTTGTCTAAATGATTACAATAAATTAGTACAAATTCAATTTCTGCTTTGGCGCATATGGAAAGTATTGCACAGTTTTATTTTAAGATATTGAAAATATTCGGTTTGCAGCTACGCGTTTAGAGCTAAATTTTGAGAACATTCCCACGGTCAGATAAACGCTCTCGAACGTCTTTAATTCGTGTATATATTACATGTGTGACCCACGCTGTTACAAATAATGCTCCAGGGAATAAAACTAAAATTTAAAAAAAGTGTTTATCGTATCAACGGAGCTGGCACAGTTATAACCTGGTAGCATTGTCGTACGATATTTTTTGATAGTCGCATAATTAATTAATATTACAAATTTATTTATTTTTTTGCGCCACAACATATAAAACATGACCTCACCATCTGAGACTTGCTCCGACTCACCAAAAAATTCGAAACGAAAGAATAAATCTTAATCGGTGATTATACATATCAGCTACTTTCCGTGTTTGGCCTATTATCCATTATACGTAATGATCTGATGCATCACAAACTATTTTAGGTTGTAGTGCTAATTTGCGGAAATGCTTATTTTGTGCATCATTCTTACCTTCATGCATATTCAGATTCTATGTGATGTAAGATGCTAATAGGATGAACATTCACGTTATTACCTTGAATCCAGATAGTAATTCTCGAGCTCGTACCGAATTTTTTTTCCATAGAAAGAAATGGTCAAGGTTATTGTAGCATATCCAGTACAGTACCAAAAATTCTTTATGATAACTGGGCCTACAGAAACGCATGGAAGAACATCTATCATAATGATGTAAAATCTTTATCACGTCTCGAGAAGGAGAGTAAATATTCTAGCACGCTCAGAGATCTGCCTAGACCGAGAATATAAATATTGTAAAAGAAAACCTTGTTTGAACAAAATTCAAAGTTCGAAAGTTCCTTAGCGAGACTCATTTATCTATTATGCGCCAAAGCAGAAAATTGGGGTTTTTTATTATTCTGCTCATCTATGACACGTTATATTTCCGTTTAACAGTAAGAACTTACTGATACGCAAGTCAAAAGCGAATTGACAAAGCTGAAACGCCAGCGTCAACATAATGTCATTTCAAAAGGATGCGTACATGGAGTTTACGGATAGAAAAGGCTCAACAAAAGTGAAGAGTCTGGAATACATGTTGGTGATCTTACAAACATCAGTTACAGACCGCGCTCTTCTAATCTTTCGGTAGTAATGATGACTTAGACGATGGATAGTACAATTCTTAGAATTTGCTTAAATATTAATAAAACTACAATATATTGTCGCTAACAATGAAATTTACGTGTCGTATTAATTTAACTATTCATTCTACCAGAGTACCTAATTTACTTTGTGTTTTCTTTCTTATTCGAATATTCGCGTTGTAAATAGTTTATATATATCGGACAATCAGTATGCAATACAATACTGGCTGCACAGTTCATCAAATTGATACGCTGCTAGAATTCGTTACGGTCTTTTCTTCTATTGGTAAAGTGGGCTCGTTTTCTCCTAAATTTGCCGGCTTGGCAACAAGACCTAGCAAGTATTGAAGACGCGTCAATAGGCAAACAAAACTGAAAATGGATGATCAGAAGGCTTTTCTCTCTCATACCAAGTGTTCTAAACATTTCTTGATCTTCGCTGAAGGCATTGTTCGGAGTCGTCAAAAGAGTATCACCAGTGAAAATAGAATTTGCACCTGCAAAGAAGCACAATGCCTAAAAAATTCATTGACAATAACCATTTTAAGTATATATACTTTGTAAAATTTTTAAGCATGTCATAACATTAAGAATCACCTGCTCAGGTTGAGAAAACCGCACACGCCCAGCAGAAAGTCGAACCATCGATTTTGGCATAATTATTCTTGCCGTGGCAATCATTCGAACCATCTCCCAAATGGAAACGGGCTATCGAAAATTTGTTAATATCTTAAAGTCACCTCTTATTAATGTCGTCTCAAAATCAAGGCAAGCCTCTTCCCACCTCTTGTTTCTCTAGGGGAGTACCCTCTACAGCCAATAATGCATTGATCGGGACCGACTCGGGGTGCTTCGGCATTGTTGATAGCGTATGTAACATGCTGACGCGGTCTTCTGGCTTTTCGCCCAACCCAATAATTCCCCCAGAGCATACGTGAATGCCTGCTTCGCGAACATTAGCGATTGTTGTTAGACGCTCATCGTATGAACGAGTAGTTATGATCTACAAAGATAGAGAATGTGATGGGTATGATAGCTTCCACTATTCGCAAACACGAATTGATGAGAGAAAGTCACCTTAGGATAATATTCACGAGAAGTATCAAGATTGTGGTTGTAGGCGGTTAAGCCAGCTTCTTTGAGTGCTTTGGCTTGTCCGGCATCTAACATGCCCAAGGTGCAACATACTTCCATGTCCATAGACCTAGCAAGATCCCAAAATAAAAGGTGATGCTCAAGACCGTTATAATTTGAACATAGGCCAAGCAAACATTGAATGTCTGAAAGGTTTTATCACTGTGCTTGAATCACAATGGCCTTGTGCGTCTATCCAAATAAAAATTGAATTTCCCAATCCGTAACTCAGTCTTTCTGTCAGCGAATATTGGAAAATCAATTCAAAAATGACTTGTATCATCAATTTGATCACCGGCACAGACAGGCAGACATATATTTCTTTGAGAGTCAAATGGATTGGAACGGATTTATTAAGATAGAAAAAATTACAAACCTGTTTGAAGCACAAGAAAACATTAATTCGGCTACAGTGACATAACTTTTCAGACACCAATATATTCATAGTTTGACGTGCTAACCTTATTTCTTTAACATATCCCAATATTTTGCTGAAATTTGATTTGCGTCCATTGAGGTCTCGCCAAGCTGCACCCATGCAGAACCTAGAGTCACAGAAAGAAATTCAGCAAGATAGGTCCTGTCAATATTCCATTCGTAAAAGTAGTTACAATTTATCCTATTCCTGTACAGAAGCACCCCTGTACTAGCCTTGTGCTTCCAGCTTCTTTAGCCTTTTTTGCCGCCACAAGAACTTCATCAGTGTCCATTAACTTTTGTGCTTTTACAGGCGTTTTGTATTTAGAAGACTGAGGACAATAGGAACAATCCTCTGTGCAGCCGCCAGTTTTGATGCTCAGAAGTGTACATTGTTGTACAGCGCGAGGGTCATGATTTTCACGATGAACTTTGGCCTACGAGACAACAACAACAACAACAAAGCCCATAATCATTAATAGTGGTGAATCAAATAGTATCATAATGAACCAACGTAATAAACCATAAAGTTCGAGAATCTTGGAGACTATCCTCAGTGATCGTCGATGGGTGTAGACGTTCATCTTAACATCTACCGCCTTGTGAGACAATTCTCTTATCTTTAGTTTAATCTCCACACACTTACACCATAAAACAATAAATCCATCAAAGGAGAGTCATATATAGATTTTATCTCTTCCCGAGTCCAGTCATTCCTTATATTCCCAGTCGCATGCAAACCTGCAATGGCTGCTGACCTAATAGTCTCAACAGGTGCTGCAGACACCAGTCCTCTCGTTGGGAAGACTACTCGCAATGCGGTGAAGTTGCCGAATGCTCTCGCTGTACGCAGACGAAAAGCCATAGTACGATTATGATAGAAAGAAGAAAATCTGAGGAATTCGTGTAGGGGATTAGTTTTTTAAATTTGTAATAATATTGAATAGTATGCTTTTATGGAAATTTAATCTGATCGATTTGATGATCGGAGATATAAAATTTTCAGTATCAGTTGCTATTGGTCGAAAATGCAGATATCGGGGTTAACCGCCAATTTTGGCTTGTTTATTATAATTAAATACAATTAATTTGCTTTCGCACGTATTACAAACTCTGAACAACGTGGGAAAACTTTCTCGCAAGATTATAACAAACAGGTGGTCGTTTGGAATAGCTCGAACATTTCGGTTAGTGAAAAAGCAATTTGTAATCGATGGCATTTTGTCGTTTTGAGTCTACACCACGCAAACAAACAAAGAAGTTTAATTTTCGCAGCGAGTATAGTCTCGTCTAGCTCAAATAAGCACGATATGATTACATAATTACATGTCGCTTATTTGTGTATTTCGAATTGACGTCACCTGCCGGGTAGTAGCAGTAAATACGCGTCCTGATTTAGTTGTATAGTTACCTTTCTTCTCGGTCGTGCCGCCTCATGCATTTTCGTTCACATCCACAACGTCGGGGGTGAACTGCCGGGACGATATAATTTACAAACCAATGAAGTGCCTTGACAGACAGCTTTTTGCTTTTTTTCTGATACTATAGTCAGCGGTTATTTAAAAAAATGGAAAACAGTTACTCATGCCAATTATTGCTGCTTCGAATTTTGTGCTCACTGTAATTATAAATCACAGAGTGAATGTCATTACCGTACATTATAATGAACTAATAGCCGCTCACCGATGATGCAATTAGTCTTTTGGTCTTGAAGAGATTAAGAAGCAACTAAATCCAAAAGCCAGAATGAGATATCAACGTGAGCCTGGATGCAAAAAGAATCGAAACATTTAATATTTTAAAATTAGACAGATGATGTATTTCTTTTTCTCCCCGATTTTGAAAAGCTGCTAATGTCCATTCAAAGCCTTTTCTGAATATATGTGTGCAAATACAGAAGAAAAAAATTATTAGTCTGAATTTTATGAAACTTCTATAAGATGAGAGCCTCGACCTATTAACCAATTTTTTGTTTCCTGTTACATAGGCAGACTCGTTAAGTCGTTTTTGGCGTAACTCGGTCAAACCTTTTTTCGATATTTAAAATTTCTCGATAAGTCGGTCGACATATGTAAAGTCGTAAGTCGGCCAACTTTTTTATGCTATGTAAATTATCCTCGATAAGTCTGTCTCACGTGATATTCGGAGAACATCATTACTATTTGTGTAAGCATTGATCGATTTCGAAAATATGGAACTGAGATTCCTACTTTAAATATTTTAAATGCAATCGACTGGGTTGCAGAATCGTGGAGAAATGCGACCGAAGATGTAATATATAGGTGCTGGAAAGAACTGATATTCTGCCTGACGAGTCGGAAGTCATTAACTATGAACCACCAGATAATGACATTGAGATAGAAGATGAAATCGTACAACCGCTTATTGATCAAATGGTCGTCATGAGAGCAAAACTATATTGAAATCGACAGTACTTTGGAACAAGCAATATTCCTGATAATAATGAAATTATTGCAACCGTCCAGAGGATGAAGGAGAAGATGACGACAAAAATGAGATTTTTATATTTATGGTATCTAACAAAGTGGCTTTAGAAAACATTCAAAATTTACATAACTATTTGCAGCAGAATAACGATATAAAAGTAAACAGTTTATTAGTTTCAGGATTAAGAGACTTAAAATGGGAACTTGTGAAGAAGCGAACGGATTCTTCGATACAAACGACCATGGATATTTATTTTTCTATAAAAATAAATTAGTCACGTGGATTCGATAAGTCGATCTAATCCGTGACCGACTTATCGAGTCTGCCAACCCGTAGTCCATATTATTTTGACAATGAAAGCGTGTACAGTCAACTGCCGATAATTCGACCGCTTGCGTTCAGGGGTCATCGGTCGAATTAACGAATATCCAATCAGACATCCACAATGATAGGGCTTCTTCCAGCGTTTGTCATTTTGGCCTTCGATTTCTTAATCATTTAGCATAAGGTTTATTTATATCGATATTCATCCATTTCTCTGATTGTATTATGATATTCTGTACGGTTGTTTTTCCTACACGAAATTCTTTGCCTAATTCCGGGTTAGATAGTTGAGGGTTTTTAGCTTTTTGCTGTCTTGCTTCTGTTTGGCACTCAACGTAACATAAGGTTGTTTTTTTTCGATCGAGGCATTTTGAGAAAATAGTAATAACGCATGATGGGAAATTTTTATTATATTAATGTCGGTCGGATAATCGAAACTTTTTATCACAAAAACAATGTAATTAACCCTTAAATGAAATGATTTGTGGTCGAATTAACGGACGTAATTATTATTATAGTATTATTTATATTATTAATATGCACTGGCTTAATAGAGATTATTTAAGCAATCAAATTAACAAATTATCGAGAATTTATAAGTTCGATCGAATAAAAGGAAGAAAAATCATATGAAAAAATCGGGTCTTACTCAAGACGATCGAATTATCGGCAGTTGACTTTTATAATCTAAAGGAGCAGGTGTTAATGCTAAAATAGAAAAGGCTTTAATTTTTTTGGTAATTTCAAAAATATTTGCTTTTCTACTTTTCAATAAATTGATTTCTGTATAAGCACCATTAGCAACCATCTGGGCTTTGACAACTATAGGATTGATTGCTTCAAAGAGAAAATGCTGATAGTTTTGCAAACCATTTAATTTTTTAAAGAAAATCCCCAATACGGAATTCAGATCTAAGTATTGAAAACCTTTATTTAAACCAATCGTACTTGATTTTTTCACAATTTCAACAATATCGCCACACAATTTACCGTTGTTTTGCGATATAGTTTCTTAATCAATCCAAAACTACCATCACACTTGAATTTAATATGTCCAGGTATCATGAAATTTAATTCGATACTTTCATAATAACCGCAAATTATTAAATAGAGGTAAAATCAAATGGTAACATTATTTTTATTTTGACCTCCTGCATTATCACAAGTAATCTTTAAATGTTTTTCGCCTTTATTCAATCTCTTAATTCCATCGAATACCATGCTCAACGTGCCATTCGGACCTTTTCCTATAATTTCGTCTTCATCGAGAACGTAATTAATTTGTTTACATACTGCCTCATCTTGAATACCAAATAAATGTACTTTACGCGGACTGAGATAATAAATTTACCCTGTTGATCGGAATGGGGAACGTAAACGTTTTGCGCTCAATCGTAACTGTAATGTGCAGTAGTCGCGTCAATGCTACAATAATCAACTTTACCTCTTGTTATAAAATGTTTATCTACCAATTTTCTCTGTTGTTCCGCTAACTTCGTATTTTGTTATAATAATTTCTTTCTAATTTAGCCTTAACTAAATGTTCTTTGTATTTTTTCAGTAAATCTCTTGCTTTTTCTTCCTTACGAGCATTATACTGTAAACCATTCCGAACGTGTCACATAAATCCGTTCTTGGACTCATGATTTAAATATAAGGCGTTAATTGGTGCCATAACTTGCATTATATTTTAACAATTTCAACGTGCTATCGTTTTCGAGACCTGCAATAAAATTACGATAGACCGATTTATAACTCGGAAATATTGAGTTGCATTTTTGCAGTTGATAAGTCTTTAACTGTTAGTTTGATTTATTGAGCGAACGCTTTGATAATGATTTTTCTTTATATGTCAAAATTTGTCATTAGCGAACTATATAGCATTGGTTCTTTGGATTTTGTTCAAATCGAAGTAATAAATTACCAGTATAACGAGTTCATAACCATAACAAATAATAACTGTGACTTTAGATTTACAGATTTTCATTTATACCAATGATCCGTGGCATTAACGTTAATAGCGATAGGTGATCCCTGACCTGTGGTAAATTTCATAAGTGATTTTTTCTTTATCTAGATATTCCTGGAGAATTTTGGTGTCATTCATTTTAAAAACGTATGGAGCAATTTTTTCTCCTTGTTCTTTCTTTAGAAAGCTTCTAATGGTACTGTAATTCTTTGGTTCCATGGTAGATTTGATGTAAATTAGTTTCATATTAATATTTTATATACACATAATTCTATATTAATCATGTTATAACCTCAACCAACATTAATGTTAGTCACATTCTGGTATGATATTAATTTAAAACTGTAATTGACATAAATTTCTGTATAGGTTACAGCTGTGATAATCAAAACGTTATTAGTCAAATTAGTTAACTTTCAGCTCTCATAATAGAATGTTCACTTTGTCTGGTTTTGTTGCAGTCTGCCCCATATAATCTATTGTGTAAAGTTTCTGCATTATGGATTTAAATGGCCTTTGATGGAAATTCCCGCACATACTCAATTGTCTCACCTTATTATTAAGCAAGATCGCTAAACTCCGAACGGCGACTGAATACGGATGACGTAACATGACAGCAGGGACAAGGGAAAATAGCGATCCCGCGATTAGTAAGCGGCTAGACGTTTTACGCAACCCTTTAATCCCTGAAATTTGATGCTATTAATATAGAGAATTGCATATCTTAATCCCAATCGTAAAATGACTCTTCAGGAAGATTACCCGCCTCGTCTTCTGCCAGAAAAGTATCAGACTTTGAAGGAACAAACGATCGACTGGTCGATTGCCAACAGTCTTGTAATACGTCCGACTGCTGAAGTTGCCTTACCTCAAAATATATCTGTAATTCATGCGCCAGTCGCGTTGTTCCCGTCGCCCATACCGAGGGAGGCTTTCGAGGAGGCTGTGAATCTGCAACCAATATTTAATGAATTGTATCATAAAATGTCTCTGGATGATGCGTTTATCAAGAGTACTATACAAAAGTATGGTTTCAGTGAATTGGTTTCTACCTTTATAACTTTGGTTCGACTGTCCTAATTTGTTCAACATTCATCTTTAGGGTTTCCGAAGTTGATGACTTTGTCAAGAAATTGTACGATATTTATTTAAAAACGAAGGACAAAGTTCAAGTAAGCTCTAATAAGCTTGATTCGTTCTTTCAACAACATGCTTTCATTTCAGCTCATAAGTGAGTAGCCAATCGTCTTCGGTATTCACAGGTCAGACTACCTACTCCACATGGATGAGGGAGAGGTGAAATCCAAAATATTACAAGTCGAGTTCAACACTATTGCCGCATCCTTTTCGAGTTTGTCAGCGCTGACAGGGAAATTACATAAGTAAGTAACTCATGTAGTGTTTGTCATTAATCCCAACACATGGAAGAAAGCACTGCACCAAATTTACCATACCTGCGATTCAGTCCTTAATGCAGACAAATAGCCACTTATAACATTGTACACCTGCCATATCTTAGGTACCTCGTGGAATCTACGGGCTATTTTGACGCAAATGCACGAATAAACACGGAATCTTTGCCGGAAAATGCGTCTTTGACCAGTTTACCAAAAGGCATTGCTAAGGCTCATGAGCTTTATGGATCTTCAAAGTAAGTAAAGAACGCCAAACGACGTTTGATTACGCCGTATCTCTAACTTAGTTCTATGATTGCCCCATTTTAGAGCCGTTGTTATGATGGTCGTTCAGCCAGGAGAACGTAATGCTTTTGATCAACGTTGGATAGAGTATAATTTACTACAGAAGTAAGAATTAAAGACATTTTGCAAAATATTCTCAATCAAGAGTTGTACTTATAGATGTCCTCCTCCATCATTCTAACAAAGTCATAAGGTCCATCTTATTCGTAAAACACTCGCTGAAGTTTCTGAAGAGGCAAGTGTAGATCCAGTGACCAGTTCGCTTACTATGTAAGTCATATTCTTGAAAACAAAACAAGGATGCAAAAGACATTTGGCCCATGCTTGGATTTAATTTTTATTTCCTAACATTGTGTCACTTTGTGTATAAGCGCTGGTAAAGAAATATCTGTCGTGTATTACCGAGCTGGATATAGTCCGGATGATTATCCGACAGAGAAGGTAAAATGTCTTACTCTGTGATGCTTGATTTGCCAGTGCTCTAAATCTTATTTATGGAAATTAGCAATGGGAAGCACGGCTTTTAATTGAAAAATCTAAAGCTATCAAATGTCCGACGGTAGCCTATCAATTAGTCGGTGCGAAAAAAGCACAACAGGAAATAGCTAAACCTGGTATGATTCAGCGGTGAGTTAGGTTTCATGCGACATCATGAAATAGAGATTTTGTTATACGTATTGTTTAAACTATAGCTAAAGAACATACTATTAATACAATATTTCTAAAAAAAATAGATACATAAATGATCCAATACAGGTAAAGAAATTATACGCTAGCTTTGCTGAACTATATCCTCTTGATACTACGCCAGAAGGTGAAGCAGCTGCTAAGCTTGCACTCGAGAATCCAGAACGCTATGTGATGAAACCTCAGCGGGAAGGAGGAGGTATATATCAAGGCATTGTCATTGTTCTGCTTAACACCGATACTAATGCGAATTATTCGTGGATATAGGTAACAATATCTATACTAAAGACATTCCTCCTGCACTTGCTCGGCTGTCTGTCTCAGAGCGATCTTCATATATACTAATGGAACTCATCAAACCACCACCAATGAAAAATACGGTATTACGTGAAGGAGAACTAATAAGTGGTCCCATGGCATCAGAGCTTGGTATTTATGGCATATTTATTGCCACACAAGACGGAGAGGTGTTAGTCAACGAGCCAGCAGGCCATTTGTTGAGAACCAAAAGTGCTGATATGAATGAAGGAGGAGTAGCGACAGGATTTGCTGTACTTGATTCACCGCTGCTTGTCTAGTTTTCGAAAATGTAACTAAGACAACAAACTTTGTCGTCGTCAATGTACAGAAAAGTATTTAACTTTGAAAAGATAATATGTTATGAGACAGATCAGCAATAAAAATTGGAGTACGAATCGGAAGTGAAAAAGTCCGAGATTATGTGGACTTGTATTGGAGTGACTTTCATGGCCCTGCTAGATGCAGACTATAGTTATTCAAAGCCAAACTCTAACACGTATTATTAACGTTCGAGTTGAAACGTTTGTCATGGACAATTTATTTTTTTTTGGTGCCCTACAATATTATTTGTGTAGAGAATCGCGTAACCTATATACAAATCTTCATCTTTTCACATCATATCTGCCTTCTTCGCCATTCATGCATTCTGTAATCGGTTCTCATTTAATAACATATCCAAGTATTGAAAACCCTTTCCATTTTATAGCACTGAGCTTCAGATGTGCTTGATTTTTTCACAACCTCAACAATATGATCCACACAATCTACCATCGTCTTTCTTAATCAATGCCATAACACTTGAATTTAGTATGCCCAGGTACCATAAAATTTAACTCGATACTTTCATAATAACCGTAAATTACTAAATCATTATTTTTATTCTGTCCACCGCGTTACCGCGCCACGAGACAAGCACGGTATTGTATCGTTTGAGTATCTGATGTACAAAATTATTGCTACCAATACGCGTATTGAACTACCTTTGGACCAATCTGCCATTGTTGACTGGAATGTAGTAGTAGGGCATTACGAATTTGCAATTGGTCTCTTAGTCGCCTTGGCAACAATTTCTCGTACTGACCAACTTGTTCACTATATACTCCGGTGACTTTTAAATATTTTTCACCCTTATTCAATTTCTTTATTCCATCGAAAACCGTGTTCAGTGTGCCATTAGGACCTTTCCCTATAATTTCGTCTTCATCGAGAACGTAGTTACGTATGGCTTCACTTTACGCGGACTAAGATATGTGCGAGTGGTTTGACGGTTTTTGGCCGTTATAACGAGAGACCGGTATATGATTCAGCCGTGATGACTGCTGATCGGAATGGGCACGTGAACATTTTGTGCCCAATCGTAATTGTAATTATAATGAGCAGTAGCGTCAATGTTCAGCTTTGCCCCTCGTCATAAAATACTCACCATGTTCTGGTTTTGTTGCAGTCTGCCCCATATAAGAATGAAAAACTCGTAATTTGGAGCTACGAAGAATCTTGGGTACGATTTAGCGTTTAGTGACGAGACAAACATCGCTACTTTTTCGCAGAAATCAAAGAATCTTGGGTACGCTGAGCATGCACTGGCAACGACAGCATAAATGTTGTTAACCTGCTTCAGGATAACTATAATAATAACTTTTATTGAACAGACTCGATAACTAAATCATTTGGAAACGCACGGTAATAGAGTTTAATATTAACAATCATTGGACATAGATAACACAGATGACCACAAGATTGTAATACACTGCGCTCTCATTGTCAAATATCCTTTCTCGACTACACTCGCTGGACACAAAAATCGACTCTCCGACTAGTAACTAGTAAATGTGAACAGCTAAACCTACAAAGCTACCTTCATTGTTCTGTCAACTTTGTTAATGATTCCCGTTACAGTATTATTTTGTCATTGATAATTGACTGATTTTAAGATAAAATGAGATTAACCATATATATACATTTCACGGATCGTATTATGACTTTTCTAGAAATTGCGATGACACAAATTCTCAGCCGATAGATTTAAAAATAGTAAAGACTGCAAACTAAAAAATCAGTGATATATCACAATTCAGACATTTATTGTGCCGGAAACCCCTCGTTAAATATCGGCAGGGTTGTTATTGCTAAATATTATATTGATATTAAGCCCACTTTGTCTGGCACATACTTTGCTTTTGAGCTATATCACCAATGCCGCATCCACTTCAATTTAAAATACATCCAAGTACCGGAGAAGACGACGACAACCATCCCTTATCTGTAAAACAAGATACTAATGTCTCTACACGTTCTATTCCACGTTCACTTTCTCCACCCATACATTCCCCACCCGCCCAATCCTCGACTTCCTTTCTAACTACTCTCCAATCGTTCGTTCCGCGGAATAAGACCTTTCTCCGTATTTTTACTGGATTTCACATTACCCTAGCTCTTCTTTTATACACACTTATCTTTGTCGATGCGACGTTAATACATCATCAGAGAGAATCAAAGGCATTAGAGGCCATTCTTCAAATTATTAATGTATTTGTCGTGTTGTGTACCCTTGTCAACCACCCAAAAAGAGCGCTGAATTGGGTAAGAGCATTAAAAATATGGAAAGGGAGCAGGAATGATGAATACGGGATCGGAAGAGTGAGTGAGGAAGTGAGAGAGTTGCAGGAGAATGTCAGCAAAGCGTATGAATGGTATGTATACGATGGAGAGAGGGCTTTCGTATGTTCTCCCGCGCGATTGACTGGTATTTTGACGTTATGGAATCTTGGGAGTCTCGCTCAATATGGATTATCAGGTAAATAATGGGTGATCAACTGGTCTATGTGCGAGAAGAAGAAAAAACCACGGATTATTAGCATGTTTATTACAGTTATACAATTGTATATAGGCAATATAATCCCTTCTCTTAAGCTTCTATTGTTTATTTGATATCTTTCTTAATACGCACTTTCTCAAAGTTCTGCTTTTATTAATCTTTACACCCATCACTAGGCATTTTGTGGTTTGTTCATCATAATAACCGTCCGCTTGGAGTATATCTTGCGTTCAATGTTATAGCTCTCGTTTGCTTGGTTGCGCCCATTCCACTTGTTGTGTTTCAAGCCAAGAGAGCAAAATCAGCTCGTCATCTTGCTGTATTAGATGCAAAGAGCAGGCTCATGGCGGGTCACAGAGACATGAGATCCATGGAAATGGCTGACGTAGAGTTGTGATTGAAATAAGGGATCTTTGAATATGTAGTATTATTGTAATTAACTATTTATGTATATAAACACTAGTAATCGTGTGTAATGAAATAATATTCACAGACAGCAGGTATCAATCTAAAAAGGTCTACTCTTCAGATGATATAATAAAGATAGTGAGTTTGATTCAAAGAAAGAGTGTTTTGGTCTCGCCCTTAAAGCTATTATCTTTTAGGCATTCTACTAAATGCCTAAGATTCGCATATACTTGACATTTAGCCACACGTACGCATCTGGTTTTCAAAGAAATAACATCGAGATCAGCGGTGGATTATGCGACAAGAATGCAATTCTAGTCTTTGATCTGTTGCTTGTAAACATTTCCGTATTTCCTCGACCGTTCTTTGAATAAAGTATATTTAATTGAATAAATTACATATGTTTTACTATTTGATATTTCAGTTAATGACTTTTCTACAAATGCAACGGACGCTTCGTTTCTCTTACGATTTAGTTAGAGTTTAGCCATCGGTTTCAAGCACAAATGGATTTAATTATAACAAGTCAATTTATTCGTATAATAAATAGAATAGTTATTCATGCTTACATATATGACACGTTACAATTACATTAATGTCTAAGATTTTAAACTTCGTTTTCTTTTTACTCCCTTTTCGCATTAAATAAATACCAACTACAGTATTAAATTAGACATTATAAAGACAAATAGACAATAGATAGATGTAATCAATACAAGCTATTGCCCCCAAACCAGCGTGCCAAGCAGCAAACTCGCCATACATCTCTGACCAGCTTCTGGGACAGATTCTTCACGAATGGCTAAGTAATCACCAAATCGGCCCCTCAAACTCCTCCACGTCCCCATTGGATCTGATCTCCGACAAGTGAAGAGAAAAAGGGGAAAGAAAGGAAGGAAAGAAAATAGAGTTAGTGTAGTGTATATCGTGAAGCAAAGCGATACTTACCCCACACTTACCAAACCTTCTTACCGTAACCTAAAGCTGTGTCATAAAAAAAAGAAAAGAAAAGAGTGTTCCGGGCATCTCCCATCAGACCCTTCACCGCAGGCGAGCACTGGGAACAATGGAAGTAGGAGGGGCGTCATTGGTAACTACCGCCACCGAAGGAGAGCAGCCACCTAGTATACTACTTTGAAAAGTAATAGTTTTCTGTTAGTTATTGATTAGTTAACTACACATTTGTCTATTTAGTTTTGAGTATAAGCAACCAAACGACAGTAAGGTCACACGACAGATGGTAGTTCCTTCTTTGTTAATAATGGTGTCGTATAATACGAAACTGTAAAAGTTTCATTATTTTGCCGAGTATAGAGCGCGATTATGTATCGGAAAACTTTTCGAAATTGAGGAAGTGACTCGTATGTAACTTCTAAATAGTATAATAGATATTATAATAATTTGTTGGATTACTTCATGACGCAAATATTCATTTCACTGAAGACGAGAAAATAACCGCTTGTTGAAAGGACGCCAAATAGCATTAACAAACGTACATATTAATGACAATTGTCCCGAACTTCTTTATCGCGTTATTATTCTGCTTGTGTACGGCGCGTTAAGTGAAAGGTCGGGTAGGGATAGGTTATGTGGCCGATAAACTGTGCTTTATTGAGTGATAAGGATTCGTTGACTTGTTCGTAAGTTACGTATCGCGCGTTAGGTAGAGTGCGGAACGTTCGCGCTCTTGTAGGTTATACCGTGTTGTATTGAATGTTAAAAGTTTGTTGTTTTAAGAACTTATTCGTGGTTGCACCGCACGTTGGGTGAACTCTTTCGTCGGTAATGTGGTCGATAAACCGTGTTTATTGAGTGTTAAAATTTGTCTTGCTCGTAATTGTGTAGGCGGGAATAGCCTTTGTGTCTCAAAAACGTTGTTATCTATCTTCCTCCTCAACAGTTACTTCGATATTATGGCGTTAGGGTTAATGATAGCATAATGTGGTGCGGAAAATTTGGTTTCGTGTCCGACAGTGAGTTTACCGAAGAAATGCGTTGTTGCGGAATGCTCGTTCTTGTGCGAACTCTTTTGTCGGTCATGTCGTTGGTTATGTAGTCGATAAACCGTGTTTTACAAGTGTTAAGGATTCGTTAGTTTGCTTGCGAGTTGCGTATCGCGCGCTAGGTGGAGTGGCGGAACGTTTGCCATTGTGTGAACACTTTTGTAAATTTTGGTCGATAATCGCTATCTGTTGAATGTTGAGGATTTATTAACTTGCTCGTGAGTTGCGTATTACGCGTTAGGTGGAGGGGCGTGATGTTCGCTCTTGTGCGAACTCTTTCGTAAGGATAGGTTACGTGACCGATGGACCGTGTTTTATTGAGTGTTAAGGATTCGTTGACTTTCTTGTGAGTTGCGTATCGCGCGTTAGGTAAGTGGCAAAATGTTTGCCCGTGCGCAAACTTTTTTGTAGGTTGTGATGAGTATTAAGAGTTCGTCGTTTTAAGAACTTGTTCGTGGTCGCGTTTGGTGGAGAAGCGGCATTTTCGCTTTTGTGTAAACTTTTTCGTCGGTTATGTGGTCGATAAACCGCGTTAAAAATTCGTTAAAGACCTGCTTGGGAGTTGTCGTATGTGCGTATTATGAGGTTGGTTGCGTTGTATGTTTTATTTTTAAGTAACATTGTGTTTGCGCTTGGGGGAGAAAAGATGTTAAATTCAAATACTTGAAAAAAATAAATGGTCTATTTGACGATCGACAATTGTAGTGTCAAAAACACTGGCTAATTATTCAGGACCGCCGTCCAAACTCACCTGCGGTTTGGGGCACCGGCACCCTTTACCGATGGGTCCGGCGAGAAAGGTGCGGCAATTATATTCCCACCTATATTTTTTTCTTGTTAAATCCCAAGCATGCATTTTTTTATACATATTTTCTTTTGATGAAGCGATACATGATGAGCAATGGGAAGATACGTCTGAGTATATATATGTGAGTAGGCGCATGCTTGCGTCTTAATATCTATGCAATAGGGAGTGCGACACAGACTACTCTTAACCAATAACGGATATCGATACACTGTCGCAACACATCATTATGTCAGTGGCAACGATGTTAGTTGAGCAAGAAATCAATTTACTAAATTGGAAGTAGTTTTTTAGAAGATTTTTTGCGGAAAAATTGAAGGTGCGAATTGAAACCGCTCGCTCCGAATTAATAATCGAGTATTTATCTGCTGTTTTTACCGTGATCTGCAACCCCTTGAGTAATCCGGCTGTAATAATATCGTTCGAATTATTTTAAGAAAGTTGTCCAGAAATACATGTTTATTATTGATATTTACCAAAAAATTAACCTAAATAACCGTAATAGTAATAACAATCCGAATTATTATGGGGAAAAGCGGTAGGTTACGGAATAACGCGGTAAAAGCGGCGGATAAATACTCGATTATCGAAAAATATTGATTTAAAGCCGAATTTAGGTACAAAGTAAGGTATATTGTGTGACAACACACCAAGTTCGATCGATGCATGTAGTGCGAAAAGGTAAAAGGGGAGAATAATGACTTATTGCTTTACATTAATGCTATTCCTTCTATATTTTTCTTGCATACATCTGCTTATTATATCTGATCAGAATGTAAAATAATAGAACTGAAGCTATAATGAAAAAAAAACAACAACATTCAGTTTTACTGACAATCTTGATAGTTGTTTTAATAAATTCTATTAGTGATGTTTGATGTTTCAATCTTTCTATTGATTCATTTAAACACTGATTATACAAAACTAAAAAAAAAAAAAAAAAAAAAAAAAAAAAACCCAGCTTTAGAGGTCCACCTTAGTTGCGTCTAATAAAGGACACAAAACTAAACACTGATTATATACACAGTCAGTCTCGATAAGTCAGCCAAAACGGGTTTGACCTCTAATGGCCGACTTATCGAGAATCACGTGAATAAGCCTTTTAATTAAGCCATTTATTAATAATAATAATAATAATTACATCGTAATACAGTAATAGTAAAATAACCCTGCAGACTAGCTTGTCTTAGAAAATCAACTTGCTTTTTTCTTATCTGACGTTGTAATTTTGTATTCTAATAATACAGAACTATTTAAGCTTAAACTATTCTATTCGATTGCTGTTTAAATGACATATTGTCGTATGATTGTATTGTGACCACCAGTCAAAATTGAAGAAAGTTGTGTTACGTTTTATATTTGTCACGTGAAACCGACTTATCAAGATGTGTTCAACTAAGACTCGTCTGGAGCTGTTGGCCGACTTATCGAGACTGACTGTGTATATTGTATTGTTTTTTCTAAAAACTCCTTCTTTCCCTTTTTATACACCTATAAAAGTGCATAACAAAAAATTGACCTCTACACACAAGACCTTAAAAACGCGTAGCTTCACAAATAAGTAAACAAATCATGTCCAATTTTAATAAGCAGTTATGCTGACATTTTTGTTATAAAAACACATCTTAAACCCTTTGTTATCGTAATTATATTGTTGAAGAAGAAAAAAGAAAGTCTCCAAACACACATAATACACAACAGTTAACAATCGTTTACTTTTGGAACCAAGAAATGCATTCTCAAAAAAACAGCTGGCCTCCCATCAACCATTAAGTATTGGGATTTTCTGCATAAAAGGGTAATGGCCATCTATACCTAGCCTCATACTGTCAATAAATCATCACTGTCAGATCATAATTAATAAAAGAATTAATTACAGTTATACCTCTTTTAAATCCCCACCCCAATCTCAGATATATCCCACCTGTGAAGCGGGACGAATTTCCTCTATTGTATTTCAATATAAATTACCTCACTTGTATCCCCTTCAGATATAACCCTATCCCCAATATTTTGCCGTCCCAAATTACCATATCATATGGTAATCTATTAATGGGCGTTCTCATCAGTTACCTCCCCTACCAGATATGGTAACGCTTCGAGTTACTAACTTTGGTGGGGAAGATAGCTACTTCCCTACTGCATTTGGGAAGTATCATTATTGGCAAGCCTATTTATATTATGATATAGGGTGCTCTAATCAGTACCAGATTGGTAGGGGAGATCGCTTAGCACTCGGGGAGGTAAATTACCTCCCCTCTACCTCCCCCAAACTATTGCCAGATTTGGCAAACTACCTACTA